AAAAAAAAAAAAAAAAAAAGTTAAAATGTTTTTGAAGTTTAAAAAAAAAAATAAGAACATTAACAAAAATTTTGAAAATTATGTGTATTTTTTTAACACGTTTAAAAGTAAAAAAAAAAAATAAAAAAATGTTTTTTTTTTTTGAAACTGTTTTGAAGGTTGGAAAATATTTTTTAAAGAAGTTATTAACGGTTTTCTTCCCATTTTTCTTAATTTATTTTATATGATTTAATAATATTTTTAATTTTTTTTTTAAGTTGAGAGGTATTATTCAAAAATATAAGAGTATTTTTTAGAATAAATACAAAATTTAAATATATTTTTATTAATTTAGCTTAATGCTTTTCTAAAACATGTTTTCAATAAGAAAATAATTTTATATCTCAACATTATTTTAATGTTTTAAACAATTTTTTGTTTTTTTTCTGAACTAAACTTGGGAGTAATATATTAATTTCAACTAATATTTTAATTGCATGTTATGAATTTTATTTTTTATTAAATACTTAAAAGTGTTACCATTTAGTTCATATAGTTATCATGGTTCCAAATCAATATAGTCCACAAGTCATGACGTCATTCCGAGTCCCAAGATGTCATTAGTCATCATAGCTCACTCGATCATGGTCATCAAGAATAGATCTATGTGTCATTCATATCATTGAGTTATATCGAAACATTGGACCCTCCCGTTCATGTCATATCATTTACAGACTCTATACTAGATAGCGGGTATAGGATCCAACCTCTGACACATGGGGTGGGGTGCAATTTCAACACACATGTGCACTCTGACACTGTCCTTGAAAGACTCGTTTCAAAGAAAGTCTCCTAAGACACTCGTCTCGCAAAGCTCGCCCTCACTATGACACATGCATGTATCACAGGATAGCTCGCTTAGGTTACATGGCTTAGGGGTGGTGGAGAGTTGACACTATATCTCCCCCTAAAATACATTTTGAGTCATTTTTTGGTCGACAGGTGTAGACATGATTTTGGCGAACGGACATATGGTGTTGTGGAGCGTCCGTCTAGTGCCCGATTGACACAAAATTTGGCAAGCTTTCATATTTCTTATGGATGGACTTGGCTACAAAACTGCATGCCCAAATTTTATTCAGAAGCCTGACTTTCAAGGTTAAGGTTCGGGGACCTATCCAGCCCTTCAATAAGCCTATCTCTAACACTCATGTCGCAATTGTTGCCTCAGTCTTGCTTATTCATCGGCTTTTCTTTCATGCACATATTTTTCATGTGTTAGATTATGCATCGTTCTCCTCGTTCGCATCATGACACTCATCTTGTCTCAACCTTTGCATGCCGGTTGAGCGTCACTATCGAGTTGCCACCTTGTCTTGCTTACACACGAGGGTTACAACCTACTCTCTTCATATCATAGTTGTGACATTTTCCCAACTTAAATTAGTCATCGTTCTTGATGACTTTCTTGGAACACAATCTCACCGTAGATTGTGACATTATGTAAGCCATGAAAATAAAGTCAGAATAGTTACAATTTCATTAAGTTCTAGCTTTTAGTTAGATCAAAGTGTATGCATGATCGATGCAAGTTGGGTAAAACTAATTAATTTGAA